CAGGGATCCCCAACCACCAGTCCCCAGACTGGGAGCGGTCCGTGGATCATTTTTTACTGGGCCACAAAGCTTGGGCGCCACCATCTTGTTTCAACGGTGCTTCCGGGTTTTCGGTTGCTTCCGGGTTTTTGGTTGCTTCCGGGTTTTTGGTTGGAAAGTGCTTCTGGGTTTTCAGTTGGAAAGCGGCGTTTGGGTGCTCGCACCTTAGTTTTGTCAAAGAGGGGAGGGGCGGCTTCGAATGAAGAGCCGCCCCAATGGTGGTGGAGTCTCGCGTTACTCAGGTACTGGTCCGTGGAAGAATAAATAATTGTGAAACCGGTCCGTGGTTCAAAAAAGATTGGGGGCCATAGCTTATGCCACTCTTCATGGGGCTAGGTTTGCCACCAAAGCTATTGCTTCTTCAGTGGCAGCCAGACGCATGTACTGGTAGCGTTATTGGCAGGCTGATGGAAGAAGGAAGTAGAAGCTGGCCTCTACTCCAGTTCAAGAAGACAAGCTCTTTGGGGAAGCCTTGGAACCATTCCTGGTCGAAACCAAAGATAAAAGGAAGGTGCTTCCATCCCAGTTCAAGAGTGTTGAACATCAACCTGCTCCATACTTCAAATGCCCTATGTTTAGGGGTGAATCCAGTTCCAGCTTCCAGCGCCCAGCCAAGGCCCCTTACCAGCGTCTTGAACCTCCTCCAGATCATTCAGGCAAGGATCAGGTGTGCATGCACCGAAGCACATAGCACAGGTCACACGGGTTGTGCACGCTTGCGCAGGAGGCATGAGGGGGCCGCGCACATTGCCTTCTGTGTGATGGCACGTGAGCACGAGCAGGATCTTGGTTTCTCTATTAACATTAAAAAGAGCCAATTCATTCCGTCAACTCGTCTACTTCATTTGGGGGCCATCATTGACACAGGAGTGTGTCAGGTTTTTCTTTCACAAGGCAGGACAGCCTAAAAGGGTTGGCCAAGAGCTTTCGTAGTAGGGGTTCTATTCCTCTAGCTCATCTCTCCCAACTGTTGGTAAGATAATTTCTTGTATTGGTATCATTCCCTAGTATTGTTCACTCCAGGGCCCTTCAGTGGTTTTTACTGCCTCACCAGAAGACAGGTAAGAGTCATTCTTTAATGAAGGTGAGGTTGCCCAAGCAAGTATTGCTTTCATTTCATTGGTGGCTCTCCAGTACCATTTCAGGGGCCAGTCCTTCAGGGTGGAAGACAGGCTCATCCTCATGATGCCTCCTTATTAGGTTGGGGAGCTCAACTGGAGTCCCACATGGCCCAAGGGTTATGGTCTGCTGAGGAACAGGTTCATAACATTAATTGGTTGGAGCTAAGGGCGGTTCGTTTAGCCCTTAGAAAATGCATGAAACATTTTATTTAAAGCTAGTTATTTATGGCCTAAAATGTGTGTGTGTGTGTGTGTGTGTAATGAAGTAATGAATGTTTTATATTAGAAAGGTAACAAAATAATATATCAAACAGTTGTCAACAATGGAACTTGCATTAAATGCACTTTGTTATTGAATTAGGCCAATAGCCCATCTGATTCAATATTTTGCACCTCACAGCAATTAAACACAAGCAGATTCCTGGAAATAAATTATTCTAGGTACATGTTTTTCCCAGACTGAAAGAGAATTATTTGTACCTATTAATCACAATCTTCAAATTAATTACATGTTCTCTATGCCATTTAATTTGAACTGGCCAGCCCTATAAATCAATGAGATAAGTAAATACTGGATTTTTTTCTTGATAATAAACATATTCTAGAGCTGTAATTATTTAGACTGCCATTTCTGGACTTTTTCATCTCTCAGCTATCCATTTTAAGGAGAGGAGATCTGAATTACACATAGTATTCCAGATATTCCCAGATTTATAAAAAGTCATTATTATTTGGGCTCTTTCCTTTTTGGTTCTCTTCCTAATAATTCCAAAAGAGTAATTCTCACAGCCTTTATATTATTTAATTTTAAAGCTCACCAATATTTAAAACTATGTATCGGAGATGAGATTTCCATCTTAATATGACTTAAAACAATTTTGACTTACTGAATAAATTGTACATGAAGTACTGAAGACTTGCCTCTGGTGTTTATGCATTGCAAGTTTGTATAGTTACTGCAACCTCAGCAACACTTCACTGGATTAGCAAAATGCCTGATATTTGCTCCTCAGCTAGTAAATTTGAAATCTTTATAAGATACTCGTATGTCCCATAACTCAGCTATTAGGGACACAGAAATAATATTTAAAACGAGCATATTCACATTCTTTGAATGAGTCTCTTTAAATATTTTTGGAAAGGAAAAAATGACAAGTACGTGGATAGTTTAAATTAATGAAGGCCAGTGCTCCCAAGGCTTCATACTTAAAATATATCAAATAACTAATAGTACTATTTATTATCTCCCATTCGCAGTAATCTAGACATTTTCACATTCTGGAATACAGTATGATAAATTTCTGGAACCTACTTAGTACAGTCCTACTTTATCTGAACAGAAAAAAAAATGACTTAACTCCAAAGGTGTACTAGTGAATGGCTGATCCAATGAAGAAGGGAGGGATTTCTTATACTAAAGACAAATTAACTTTGTGTTTTGCAAAAGAAATAGCTTCTTCCATAGTTTGTGCTGCATAAGCACAATTCACAATTCACTCAGTTATTACTAATTTCCCTGATGTCTTAGATAACAAGGCATGGCCAGTGGTAAAATCATTGAGAGAATCTCAATCTCAATATTTCTTGAGCAGAGACTGTATGTGTAGGTGACAATGAAACACTGGGTATGGGAGGGTGCAACACAAGGCTAACTTTGCCACCCGGGCTCACCACAGAGTCTGACAAATCAAAACTGCATATTTCAGATATTATATATACTTGTATGACTAGCTGAATAAAACGCAATGTTTACTAATAATACATGTGTGATATGATGTGTGTTTGTTGTTACATACGTTTTCTTACTTAATTTTGCACACAGGCTTGATATATTACTTTGTAAAATAATTTAATGAGTTAAATAAAAGCTTTTTGGCAGCTATGTTGGAGAAACTACAAAAATGAATCAGAAAGCACTTTTGCTTATGATATTTATATATTTACATATACAACATGGCTAATACTTGAAAAAACGGTTGCCTACTATTTTATCTAAACATGGCTTCAATATCATGTAAAAAAGAAAAGAAAACCCAAACTTCCACCCCAATAAAAATTGTGAATGAAGGGAAAGTGTTCAAAGAAACATGGACAGATGAATAATTTTCTGTTGAGACAAGTAATAAGGCAGTATGCTCAATTTGTAGGGAAATTATATCAGTTTTCAAAGATTACAACTCGAAAGGACATTATTTGCAAAAACATGTTGCCAAATTCGATGCATATCAAGGATTGTTTCATAAAGACAAAATAGCAGAACTGAAAAAAGTCTGTCATCTCAACAATTTTTTTAAAAATTTCAATTCAAACAGACTCTATTGTACAAGCTAATTATGTGGTAGTAAGTCTGATTGCAAAAAAATAATAATCAAAACTATTTATTGATGATAAGTTTATTAAGCAATGCATGGAAAGCATGGCATATTGCCCTGATTTTAAAAAAACTGTTTTTTTCTAAAGTCACTTGATTTTGCCATACTATAGCCAGGTGAATCGATGAATATATTAAAAGAGCTTTGAAAAGTAAAGCTGCTAATTTTAAATTTTATCCTTTGGCAAAAGATGAAAGTACTGATGCTACAAATATGGCTCAACTTGCCATTTTTATTAGGGGTATTGATAATGAGTACAACCTCACTGAAGAAATGGCTTCTTTGGTGCCATTAAAAGACCCAACTAAATATCTTAACTTGTATAATGCAGTAAAAATTACATTAAAGTAATTTTCTTTAACTTTTGCTAACATACCTGGTATAGCTATTGTACCATAGGTATGGTTGGTAAAAAAAAAAAGAGGGACTTATAAAACTGATAGAAGATGGTGCAATTGCCACCAGCAGCCGATGTTTGATGAAATATTACTGCATCATATATAAAAAGAAATTATGTGCAAAAGCTTTGAAAATGGATGTCATGCAAATTGTTATCAAAGCTGTGAATTTCATAAGATCTGAGGGACTGAATCACTGCCAATTCCATGAGTACCTTAAAAGTATGGGTGCTGGTTATGGGATATCGTTTACTTTTCTGAAGTAACATAGCTAAGTCAGGGTAAAATATTGAAAAGTTTTTATGATTTGCAAAATAAAATCACCTATGGAATCAAAAAGAAAATTTGTGCCTGAATTTGAAGTGGAAAAATGGCTCATAGATTTAGCATTTATGGTAGATTTGACCACTCATTTAAATGAGTTAAACGTGTTTTTAAAGTGAAAATCAACTTTGCTATTGCAAACAATAGCAGCATTCAAAATGAAAGCTAAATTATGGCTAGCTCAAGTTATGTTAAATAATTTGATACATTTTGATACATTGACAAAACACAGTCCTGTGAAAAATATGCAGCCTTGTTTTCCTTTTTGATACAGGAATTTGATACTAGCTTTCAAGATTTAAAAAAAAATCTTCAATTTTTAAAAGGGAAATGGGCCCTATATTAGAAATTATATGTTAGTTTACTAGAATTCTTCTAAACTAAAGAAAATGATTTAAGATAGGAGAAATTTTGGAATGTTTTCCAAATCTCATCTGTAAATTGTGACAAACGTCTAAACTAATTCAGTAATGTAGAAAATATTTCAAAATTCCAACTAAGAGAACAGAAAATCAATCTCCCATATTTTTTTATTTTCAAATTCAGGTGTGGCCTATATCATCTGGCTTCAAGACTAACTCTCATGCAGCACAGGCTAGAATTAAAATGCTCTAGCTATCTAAACGTTTACCTGGGAACAGATACTTTCCATTTTAAAATGCATGAGAAAAGTAAAATCAGTGTTTCACAGGAAATTATTTCACCAGCTGCAAACTATCTTAATATAAACTAAACCGAGTTCTTACCTGCCACCGTCCATAACTGAGTAGTAATAATGACAGGGGAATAACCGTGCCTGCCATGGCGTGAGTTGAGGGCATGCTGTATTCAGAATTGTAGAAAACCTCCAGCTTCACTACTGGGGGAGAAGCAGGCCTTGGCCAACGGATAATATCCTTGGTGCACTGACCCAAAAACATGTTCCAAACCCAAATGATGATGAGTCTCCTGCCCAGCCAAGCATCCACATTCCAGATGCAGAAGGAGAAAAACATGATGTAGAAAAGTTCATTGCCCAGTTCTGTGCCAAAGCTGAAGAGGTAATAAAGGAAAAAATTATGGATTCTGAACTTCTGCAATGTGGTTTCTCCAGTTAGAGAGTTGCGGCGAGGGTAGCTTTTTGAGACCCATTTCTTCCGCTTTTCCAGGGATGCTGGCTGCGATCCCACCCCGCAGGTGTCTTCAGAAACCATCCCATTCTTCCTACCATTTGAGTGGCTCTCATCCAGTTTCTCCTTCGCGTTGGAAGAGTCTGGGGACACGCACCGTCTGCCACTTTCAGCCTGGGTCTTAGCAGCGGTGCAGGTCCCGTTGGCCAAGGGGTGCTCTGTGTCCACCGTCTGAGCAGGGGAGACAGACCTCCAGTCTGGTGGTGCTTCTACACCACAAAGTTTTTGGAAACTGGCAACTTTCTCGGCATCCTGCAGGTAACAAATCAGGCGATGGAGCAGGGACATGCTAGTTCTTCTGTCAGAGGGCAACTCAAGGAGGTAAATCTGAACTCCAAGATGGAAAGAAAGAAAGAAAGAAAGAAAGAAAGAAAGAAAGAAAGAAAGAGAGAGAGAGAGAGAGAGAGAGAAAGAAAGAAAGAAAGAGGGGGAAAAAGATATCTGGAAGTACTTAAGGGCAATTATCTGTTTTCAGCAGAGCGGAATTTGTTTTTTTAAAGTGAGAAACGGCTTGCAAAACAAGGGGAGCCGCTTCAGCAGATGACCCAGGCACCGACCTGTGCGCGCAGGGAGGGAGCTAGGGCGGCAGGTACGACTTCATAAGGCACGCTGTGAAGGACACAAACCTTGCTGCCTGGAGAAGGGAAGGAGAAAGAAACAACGGGAGTAGTATATGGGGTTGAAGAGGAGGAGCTTCGGGATAGGGAGGAGAAAGCGAAGCGCAACGGGGGAGGGGGACCCCGAACTCAAGCTAAATTGCAGCCCAAAAAGACCCAAGAGAGGAGGAGGAGGAGGTTGCGTTAACCCGTTGGGACGCGAAGCTGCTGAGAATGGGTTCACCTCCACAAAAAGGGGAAGCGAGCTGACGAGCGGGTAAAGAACAGCTCCGGATGGGAAATCAGGATCCTCCGAAAAAAAAGGCGGCGTCCATCAGGCGCTCAGCCAGTCGACCCGGCCGCCATTCCGCCTTAACATCCCCACACGCAGCCTCTCCCCGCTCTTCGCTGCTCCGCGCAGCACCAATCCCATCTAAATCCTGCGTGCGCTTGTGGCTGCCCTTAATGAGCTGGGGGGCGCGTGCGCACGCACGATTAATCCCTGTCCGAAAAATCCGCTGCGCGGGGCCGCGCACGCCAGACATGAACGTGCGCGGGCTGGCGGAGGGGGAAGGAGAGGGGAGGCTGACGAGCGGGTGTTGCCGCTTAGTTGAATTTGTATCCCACCTGGTGACGCTTCTCCAAGGCATCTAATAAAAGCCCACCAAACTAGATAATCACTATATTAAAGCGAATACACACCCCATAAATCACACTGTGCAGTTTACAATACCAGCCTATTTCTGGAGCTGACAACTGTATGCCTCCTTTGGACCGCAGAGATTCAGCTTCTCACCTCGGAGCTCTTTTTTAAATACAGATTTATCGTAATTTTATTGAACATTGTAATTTAATGTAATGTACTAGGTATGAACTAGTACAAACAAAAAAACAGTAGAGAAAAGAAAGAAAATAATAGAAAAGAAAGGGGAAAATATAGTAAAGAAGAAGAAATAAGTCATAACTCGTATACATTTAGCAATAGCACTTTATATTCTGCCCCACAGTGCTTTACAGTATTCTCTGGGTGGTTTACAATATCAGCTTATTGTCCCCAATAATCTGGGTCCTCATTTTACCAACCTCTGAAGGATGGAAGGCTGAGTCAACCTTGAGCTACATCAGGATTGAACTGCAGGCTGTGGGCAGAGTTTGCCTCAATATTGCACTTTAACCACTGTGCCACCAGGGCTCATTTTAATAAGTTACTTGATTCGTAAGTTATTAAAGAACTTGATTCCTTGTCATTTTTTCATTGTTCTCATAAAATTCTTCTCATAAAATTCTTCAAAACATTAATAAGTATCTTTTAACTCCAATATAAGAAAATTATCCAGCTCACTCTTTTTGTTAAAATATCAGCCAGTTTCATTTGTAGACGCAGTGTAACCTCTTGTTCCAGATCTTCCCATAGTCTGTAATTTTTAAATCCACTTTCAAACCAGTCTCGATCTATCTGATAAAATTATCTTTAATATTTTCTAAGCTCAGTCTTTTTATAATGGCATATGTTTCCAAAATTATCTTGCAGATCCCTTAATCATGACTATCCTTCAATACATTATTTAGCCTCATTCTGTATTAATAAGATTAAATCTTCTCCTTAATAATAACCTTTAGTTCCTTCTGGTTCCTTCTAGTATCAAAGCTTCAAAATCTTACATTTCTTACATATTTTAAGTATTCAAAACAGCAGCATGTTCCCACAGGAAGGATTCTTATAATTATTTTCAAAATCTTATTTCAAAAATAAATAAATTTTAAAGGCATAAAAAACTGCAATCAGAAAACAGTATAAAGCACTGGATATGGTTTCACATAGAAAATTAAACCTCATTTTGCTGGGATAAATTATAGCTCTATTATTATATGCAATATGGAGACATATACTGTATATATTTAAATATATATATAAAACCAACCAGCAGAGTGGTTGTGTGTGAATTACTGGGCAATTTCTGCCTCTGGAGAGAAGCACCTATTATCCACTGTTCCCTATATGCTACCATATCCCTTATAGTATAGAAATTTTAGCATTTTTTTAAATTGAAAGCTGCTTCAAGAACCTTGTTGAAGAGCAAATTACAATTAATAGCATATATAGAATGTTTTTGAATATTCACTAAAGTACCACATGTATCATATTAATTACAAAAACTACTGAAAACCCTGTGACATACTTTGAGTCTTTGAGATTATTTGAAAAGGAAAAAAATAACCCTAAGAAGCAGCCCAAAATCTCTCCAGAATTAATCACTTTCAGATTATGATTGACTGTGATTGAGAGACAGAGGAGAGATTTGAGAGATGCCAGGAGCCTTATCAGAAGCTAGTTTCTAAATGGAGAATGCTTTCATTCCCAATTCCTAATGCATATGAGTCATCTACTTCAAAGTTAAAGGATAAATGCAGCAGCCAATCAAGAAACAGTCCTTTTGTCAGCAGTAGCTATGTTTCCTTAGTCATCAGAATTATGTTATAACAGATTCTGCCAAAGTAGTACTCAACAGATAACATGTATTTTCCAGGCCTGAAAATGCAAAGTTCATTTCTGATAAACAATAATGATCAAAGTTCTGTTTTAAACTGGCCTAGAGGTACTACATTTGGATAGCATCTCTCTCTGTCTGTCTGTCTGTCTCTGCAAACATTACGAGCCCCAGAAGTGTAAAAAGATATTTGCCATATCATGTTTGCTACTGGTCTTGTCAGTATCTTGTAATTTGATTAAAAGCAGTTCTCTGAAGCTTCAGTTACAGCACAATATATTTTCCGTACAATTTCTTTCTCTCTTTTCTACCTCAGGGCCTACATACAGGCCAGGTTCATGTTTCATGCTTAGCCACTAGTTATTATTTTGATTTTGGCTTATTGTCTAATATAAAAATAAGACATTTAAATTGAACTCAATTCCTGGTGAATACCTGGATATAGCAATAACCACAGCAAACAATGATGGCACAAAAATACAAATCCACATGTAGTGATGTCATCACTCAAATGTCACTTTAATGTACTTTTGTCCTGTTGTCATATCATTTTGGGTAATGATGTCCTGCCAGGTCAGAAAAGGTGGACACACTCCTACCCCTTTCCCCTAAATTTTGCCATCTGATCGGAGTGAAAAAGTGGGCCTTTTCCATGGCAACTTCTGCCCTAAGGAACACTCTGCTCCCAAAGTTTGGCGGGTTTCTGCCCTCTTAGATTTTCATAGAGCTGTGAAGAGTATTTGTCTTTCCCCTCAAGCACTGGGATAAGGTTGGGTAATTACACATTAAAAGTATGACTTGGCACCAGGTCCTTGTTGTGTTTAATGTGTAAATATTTTAGTTCATTTAGTTTTATGGTTTTAATACAATTTTATATGTTGTTTTAACTTTAGATTGAGAGCCGCCCAGTTTTAACCTTGGATTGGAAGATGGGAGACTATATAAATGTTTTAAGCAAGCAAACAAATAAATGAGGCAGTCTCACACATTTTGTGCTTTGTTGTCTTGTCTGACAAATCCCACGCACAGATATATCCACTCAGTTTTTGTGGTCAGGGTAAACCCGTGGTTTGCCACTCCTTTCTTCCAAATATTTTCTTGGCTGGCAGACTTGATATTTCCTAATAGTTCCTGTTCAAATATTAACCCATTTAGCTTTTGAGTCTAGAACAGATTAGCGAAGTGTTGCTGATTATAAATCACTTCTTATAATGTATAGGTAGTCCTTGACTTACAACAGTTTGTTTAGTGACAATTTGAAGTTACAAAGGCACTGAAAAAGCAACTTATGACCATTTTTCACAGTTATGACCATTGCAGCATCCCCATGGTCAGGTGATTTACATTTTGGATACTTGACAAGTGGTTCAGTTTTATGACAGTTGCGGTGTTCCAGGATCATGGGATCCCCTTTTATGACCTGACAAGCAAAGTCAACTTAACCACCATGTCATTAACTTAACCATCATGTTATTAATTTAACATCTGCAATGATTCACTTAACCAGTGGCAAGAAAGGTCATAAAATGGGGTAAAATACATGTAACAAATTTCTCACTTAACAACATACATTTTGAGGTCAATTGTGGTCATAAGTTGAGGACTACCTGTATTCGGCAAACCATGGCTTAATGGAAAATGTGAAGCCAGCCTTGACATCAAGGTTGATTAAATTCAGAGGTGGGATGCTACCGGAACCGGGTAGCTCTGAAGAGCAGCAGACACCAAGCCGGTTCTGTGTTTGCTGCTGTTTGGCTCACCTACCCGCCCATCTGGGCTCTTACATGTCCTCACCTGCGCAGCACAGCTGAGATTGAAAAAACAGGAAAAACAGGAAAAAAGAGGCTTTACAAATGCTGCGCACCTGTGCACAGCGCTTTTCAGCTGTTTGGGCAGCACAGCTTAAGGGTTTTTTACACTTGCGCACAGCAAAACGCTAGTCACCAAACCGGTAGTAACATCAGTTGAATTCCCCCCCTGATTAAATTATTATAACATTTAATACCAAGCATCCCATAAGTACCTTACTTCTTATTGAGTCTCAAGTGCGGCGAAACACTTTCTGCTATTGCCCTTTAAGGGCCTTGTAAAATTGATTCCAGAAGCTCAGTCACTTTCAAATGAACAGTATTAGTTTCCATTCTTGGTTTCTAAAAATGCTCAATTCCCTTGGGTACCTTTGAATGCCCAAGAGTTTTGCCCAGTTGTTGTAAACTAGATTTTAAGCATCCATCTCTCCTCACAGCTTTGTCTAATTGTTGCTGAAGGGGACATACAAGAAACATAAGTATCATGGCCGCAGTTA